CCAAATATTTTATATTTGCGAAAAAGCTACGCGGCTGGATACATACTTACTTACACGATATTTGTCTTTTTTTAATACTTTTATTCGTACAAAACAAAGCCGTTTTTCTCTATTTTTGGATCACAACTCGCGTACACTTCACGACACTTGATTACCCTCACTCGAATTTTCACAATTTTTTTTAATTTTTTTTTTTACGGCATCCATGAATAAAATTCTAATAATTCAATTTTCCCTCTGCCAGCATTCTAAATAACTGCTTAATTAAATAACTCTTTTCTGCTATTTAACGAAACTGCAGGCGCAACACTTGATTACCTTCACTCCAATTGCTTCGCAGTAGCCTTTGAAGAAAACGCAAGATTTCTGAGCGATTTTTCTCAATAATGTTTGAAATGGGATGCGGAAAACCCCCAACAAAAGTCAAGGAGGAGGAAAAATCCCAAGCCTAAAAAAGAATGTAATCTTTCCAACCGTGCACTTACACGTAAAATTGGCCGCGATACGTGGGTGATCAGCAGCTTTTTGAAAGTGCAGGAGTTTCGGTTAGAGTCCGGACTATGCTACGAATAAGAAAACACTGCCTTATCATAGCAAAAGTAAGCACTTTGCTGTAGCGCCGCTGACACGCGCGTTCGGAGTAAGCTCGTACCTAATTTGGACGTTCCGGATGTTTTCCAAAACTATTTCACGATTTACGAAAATCGGTTGAATATTTATAATTTTAATGTATGGTATTTGTTATAGAATGAACTAGATTTTTATGAGAAAATAATTGAAATTAAATAATATGAAAATAAATAGTCAAAACTTGTTAATATAAAGTAAGTGAGAGTAATCAAGTAGAAAAAAAATACCAGACTATTTTTTTTTAATAATGGCACTAAAAAATATGTTTACGGGTAAATATGTTTACTGGTAATTGCTGCCTCACCGCATACAAATGTTTTTAGAAAACCATCTGCAATGGAAAATACTTATTAAGAAAATTTAAGTGAGGCTTATCAAGTGTCGCGAAGTGTATGTTTTTGGATATTTGATAAAATGGATGTTATAATTGGCA